AAAATTGTCATTATGACTAGCAGTAACTCTATTATTGAGATCTGAAATTAGAATTCATCCTCATCAGAATTAATTTTTAGATAGGAAGAATGTTTATTTTAGATGTCTGGAAGTAAGAGCCCAATAAACATGAATGAGAAACGTGACGTCATTTGTACTAGTAAGAATTATATTTAAAATATCTGTCTGAAATGTTTAATTTAGAAAGGAAAATGTTATTTAAGATATTGGAAATGTTCGTTTTTACTAAGAAGAAATGCATTTGAGACATCTGGAATATATATTCAGTCAAACTAATAAATATCAAAAGGGCAAGACAACCAGAGTGAGTATGGCAGGCCGCTTTGACATCTATCTATCTATCTATCTATCTATCTATCTATCTATCTATCTATCTATCTATCTATCTATCTATCTATCTATCTATCTATCTATCTATCTATCTATCTATCTATCTATCTATCTATCTATCTATCTATCTATCTATCTATCTATCTATCTATCTATAAATACACTATATTGCCAAAAGTATTTGCTCACCCATCCAAATTATTGGAATCAGGTGTTCCAATCACTTCCATGGCCACAGGTGTATAAATTCAAGCACCTAGGCATGCAGACTGTTTTTACAAACATTTGTGAAAGAATGGGTCGCTCTCAGGAGCTCAGTGAATTCCAGCGTGGAACTGTGATAGGATGCCACCTGTGCAACAAATCCAGTCGTGAAATTTCCTCGCTCCTAAATATTCCACAGTCAACTGTCAGCTGTATTATAAGAAAATGGAAGTGTTTGGGAACGACAGCAACTCAGCCACGAAGAGGTAGGCCACGTAAACTGACGGAGCGGGGTCAGCGGATGCTGACGCGCATAGTGCGAAGAGGTCGCCAACTTTCTGCAGAGTCAATCACTACAGACCTCCAAACTTCATGTGGCCTTCAGATTAGCTCAAGAACAGTGCGCAGAGAGCTTCATGGAATGGGTTTCCATGGTCGAGCAGCTGCATCCAAGCCATACATCACCAAGTGCAATGCAAAGCGTCGGATGCGGTGGTGTAAAGCACGCCGCCACTGGACTCTAGAGCAGTGGAGACGCGTTCTCTGGAGTGACGAATCGCGCTTCTCCATCTGGCAATCTGATGGACGGGTCTGGGTTTGGCGGTTGCCAGGAGAACGGTACTTGTCTGACTGCATTGTGCCAAGTGTAAAGTTTGGTGGAGGGGGGATTATGGTGTGAGGTTGTTTTTCAGGAGCTGGGCTTGGCCCCTTAGTTCCAGTGAAAGGAACTCTGAATGCTTCAGCATACCAAGACATTTTGGACAATTCCATGCTCCCAACTTTGTGGGAACAGTTTGGAGCTGGCCCCTTCCTCTTCCAACATGACTGTGCACCAGTGCACAAAGCAAGGTCCATAAAGACATGGATGACAGAGTCTGGTGTGGATGAACTTGACTGGCCTGCACAGAGTCCTGACCTCAACCCGATAGAACACCTTTGGGATGAATTAGAGCGGAGACTGAGAGCCAGGCCTTCTCGTCCAACATCAGTGTGCGACCTCACAAATGCGCTTCTGGAAGAATGGTCAAAAATTCCCATAAACACACTCCTAAACCTTGTGGACAGCCTTCCCAGAAGAGTTGAAGCTGTTCTAGCTGCAAAGGGTGGACCGACGTCATATTGAACCCTATGGATTAGGAACGGGATGTCACTTAAGCTCATATGTGAGTCAAGGCAGGTGAGCAAATACTTTTGGCAATATAGTGTATATATATATCTTCTTGTGTGATCACCGCAGTCACTTCTGAGAAGCTCGCTTCACAAACTTCTGATGCGCCTGATCTGGTCTTTGATTGGATGGTCAAACATGCTGAATACTTGCGTCCCCCACCCCCACCTTCGTCAATGCTGAGCGGAGCTATCGATTGCCCCAGGATAGTGCCACCAAATCAGTACTGCCAAATAGAGTCAAGGTTTTCCAGCCCAAACATCTGTTAAATACCACCACATCACACAGCAACCCACCCAGGTAATATATTTGTATTTGTGTGAACATGAACACACTTCAGCACAACTTAATCAAACAATCCAACAAAATCTGTCCAGAGTTGTTCTCCATAAACAACGCTGACCCCGCCACCACAGCCATGTCAGATCCAGTGAGAGTCATGTGACACATCCCATACTGACATGTTTGCAGATAGATTTATAACCATGTAGAATACTCCTCTTTTTACATTTAGAAGACAGTGCACACAAGCAGATATGCTAAGCTTATTTTGACATAGCTAAAATATTTACATTTATTATAGTTGACTTTGAATTATTTATTACCTTTAATGCTTATTGGCCGGAACATTGAACATCTGAACGCTGAACTTTTACTCTGATAAACTATAATACAATCCATAGTGTTTGGTGATCAGTACATTCTGTGTTAATCCAGTTCGCACATCCATCAAACTTGACAGGGTAGGCAGGCCCATGTGATTTCTGGAGTCGCCTTTAAGCAGAGCAACTTGTGAAAAAGCTCTTTCAACTGGTGCATTTGATAAAGGGAGGGTGAGGAGTTTAATTGCACCAAGCGCTAAAACTCAAAGCAGTGGTTTCCTCCAACATCTTTAAAAGATTCCTCTTTTAACCAGGAAGCATCGAATCGATCGTCAGTGTGAGGTTTATCACAACAGATCCACCTGCTGCTAAAACTAGCATAATCTATGGCCCCATTACACTAGTTCTCTGTTGGAAACACCCTGGCAGATGATATTAGCCAATCAGTGATGGAGAAAGGTCAGGGAGGGTTGGCTATGACTCAGTAATGATGAATGATTAGTGGACATGTGTTTTCATACGTTAACTCAAAAACAGCTGATCTGACTCCTAACCAGCCCAAATGATCTCTATCCATCCAAAATGAAAACCGCCCAATCTGTCAACACTGCACCAAATCACGTCAGCGTCCATAAACTGGGCATAATTTCAGGCTTTTCAGGCTAATTCTATGGTCGTGTGAGAATTTACGATCTGGCCAACTTTCAACCTGATCGTGGGTCGTGTGTCCTGTAGTGTACAGGGAGTAACGAGGGGAGATCAGCCTCTCACGACCACCTCCCGATCAGGAATAGTAAGGTTGGGATAAAATCAAACATGTTTGAAATTCAGTTTGCTGTCTCAAGGATTCTTCTTCTTCTTGTTCTTCCTCTCAGATAAAAACACAGAAGTATTGCGGGAGTTTGAGTGAAATGGAGTTCTTTCTGTAAAATTGACAGACTGTAGTTGCCACGATTGCTTAGGCACGACTTTGTCCAAATATGTTGTTGCCTTTTCTTTTTAGGGCTTTGGGCACATAAAATTGCACAAATTGCCAAGGCAACGCTGCTGTTTCGTCATACAGTGTGAGCTGTAGCTGCTTGCAACGATTGAAAAAAATCCTACAGTGTATGCCCGACTATAGGTGAAAGCAATCAATGCGAGGTCACTTCTTATATTATGTCCATGGTCAGTTCATCAGGATTATGATCCCACTAAAATATGTAGTTGTTGTTCAGGGGGGGCAGATCTCCAGCCTAACGTCCGTGTGACAGATTAACTGGTGGCGAGATTACTGGTTGAAACTCTGCCTCACAATGGAGTGTCATTTCTCCTGCTTCACCATAAGCTATAAATCAAACCTGCAGCTTGGAGGAGCAAGTCCGCCACTATGAAAATCTCTGAATGTAAATAGAAATACATGCAGGCCTATTAACACAAAACATGTTTCAGCACCTTTCAAGAAAAACTGGATGTCATCCTTCTCATCTTCTCATCCTTCCTTCCAACTATTCCCACTTTATTTTTCAAATTGTGAAATAAAGTTATTTTCTTGTTATTAGATTCCATGCTTTCACTTTTATTTTATTTTCTTATTTAGACACAGACACCAGCCTTTACAAAGGTGGTTGTTTTTGTGTTTTTTCTCAGAGACCCTAAAACTCTGTCCTGTATGATGAACTGTATCAGGTCACACAAACAGTGGTTTAAGGAAAGAAACACCTTTATTTGTTTTGCTATTGTGTTCAGTCTGTACTTGTTTTACTGCCCCCTGTGTACAAAGTGAGTAATATGTATTTATTTAGGTGCATTTCAGCTAATAAAATCTGTATCAAGTACCTGGTGATGTGGAAACATTACTTTTTATGTATTCATAGTAGAATTTAAACACCAGATTTAGCAGCTATCACTACGGTGTGGTTATCACACGCCATGGCTGTTTGACATTTTTTCATTTAGAAAAAGGCAGATAAGAAATCAGGAAGCAATCAACTAGATTAATTTGTGACAAATAGGGTTCACAACACAGCTGTTTGGAGAGATTAGGTGGCTGTGTGGTTGCCTGATGAAAATCCTGCAAAAGTAAACAAACCAGTGGTGGAGCCAGATGGATAGTTGGGATGGCAACTTTGTACATAGGGGACCTGTCATGGATGACCCAGAGGAAGAGGATCTGCTGGTGGAACGCATGGATGATGAGGCGGTTAGAGATGAGGACTTAGTGGAGGACAGGGGCAGAGCTAGATGGGGGGCCAGGGGTGGCCATTCCCACCCTTAGGCAATCATTGGCCACCCCTGTGGCCACCCATACCATTTCCCCCCCCTCTATTACATATGGTGGCAGCAGTAATACTCTCAAGTGGAATATTCAAAGCTTTTTTTTTTTGTGGTTAATTATGCACATCAATATACTAACATCAAAGATGATAAGTACAGAATTCATGCTCTTTTCAGAACTAGATTTTGTATTGACAATGCAAAAGATTTACGCCCCAGAACTCAAAACTGAAAGTTTTATACGCAATACCTTTATCTAGAAATTATGGATGTTTAAATATATGTGTCTATTTGATAGGCTGTAGGAAAGTATAGTTTGTCTTTATTTAGAAAATATGGATGATTTGCTACGCCTCTGGTGGAGGAGAAACCTGATGACTCCTCAGAGACTGTCCCAGTCCACAACACCTTCCTTTAGACCTTCAAGTCCTCCTTCTCTGCACCATCCTCACCACAGCCCTCCCCCTCCAGCCAAGGCCTGCATCCTCCTCTGCACCCAACACTAGCCTCTAGTCCAGAACATCAGCTGGGTCAGTGGTCTACTCATTAACTCAGCCCCAATTCCCTCATATCTGTTTTACATGCTGTGATTGTGTTTTAATGGTTCCTTGCAGGCTGTAGTTTTTGGACCTGATAGCATCCCAGCCAGGCCTGCCTCACGAGTTCTGATGTCAGATTTCCACAGCCATTTGTCACGAGGCAACAAATCCGGTTAGGAAGTCCCACCCTTAAAATCTCTAGCTGCAGTATCACAGCATTACCAAAATAAATGTACATAAACAACGAATCTGAACACTGAAAATAATAACAATAAAAATGAACACAATAACAAGAAAACTAACAAATGAAACCTACAAACTATTTACATGTTTATTTTGTTTTTTTAACATTTTCTTAGTTTTTTGTTGTTTTTTTACTTCTAAATTTACTCTTTTAAGTCCTTCCTCCAGTAGGACACACCAGCAACCTTGGCTGCTCACACATGCCAAGATAGTGGATCGATCCCCGCATCCCCAGCCAGGCGGAACTTGCCAAGCGATCAACCAGAGCTGTCCAGCCACCCTCTGGTCACAGGACAGCTTTCAGGAACAGCATACAACATTAAGTAACTTTCTTCTCCTTCTATTAATGACAAGTTTGTTTTTTAGGATTGATTCTGCTTCTGTAAGTAACATAATCTAGAAAGTTTGTAATATTAGATGCACTAATTTACCCTAATCTTTGAACTGGTGTGAGTATTTAGGTGTCTGTTATTGGCAATTAGGTGCACGGCCAGGATGTCTAAAAAAACCAACAGGAAATAAGAAACTTCTGTAAACTAAAGTTACATTTAAAGAAATGTGTAACACCCCTCCTATAAAACCTTCAATCGCTCCATAAAGCAGCATCTCCACTTCAAGATGATCTTCATCATTACATCATCACGAAGCTCTCAAAATTCTTGTAAAGTATATTACAATGCAAAAAATGTAAATCTAAGTAATTCACTTTTTTTTTTTAAATAAGTTCTTGAATTGAGCAGATGACTGAGGCACTTTGCATGTTGATTCAGACAATTTGCATGTAAATTAGGAATAAAAAACAGCTGCAGTTTCTAATTTAAAATACATTTTTTATTTATCATATTTTAGGGGTCAAAATTCTCATTCCATTGGCAGATCATCTGATTTTCCTAAATAAATACGGTTAATTTAAGATTTTTTTTTACTTCATTCTACATTGCTTTTGCAGTGTACTTTTGGTTTTGAGTTTTTACGGCACTAGTGGCACCAGTGGCTGACAGGAAAGGAGGTATGAGAGAGGGGGAGAGACCACAGGTTGGTTTAAAACCCCAGGTTGCCCACGTCAGGGACTAAGGCCTCCGTACGTGGGTAGTGTGCGCTAACCACTGCGCCACCTGCACGCCCTGCAGTGTGATTTTAAGTTTACTCTTCCTACTGTGCCTCTCTGACTCCTTTCCTCCCATCTTTTCTTCTGTATCTCTTGCATCTCTACTATCCCTCTCCTGACAAAATATATGGATGAACAATTGGACAATTTGGGGTGCAACAATCCAACATTATGCTACTGTTGAAATTTAAAAACACTTAGTTTTACAATCCTTATAAGCTTGGAAGTATAAAATTATATTCATAGATTGTATTTTTTTTCTTTCTGATAATATGTAACGACAAATGTTGTTTATCAATAAAACTACACTGAAAAAACTTTCTGAAAAGGAGTTAAAATGTCTAAAAAGAATTCACCCTTAATCTGAGTAGGTAGATGACTGTCCAATTGACTGAGCATTTTCACTTTTACAATAAGATAATTGGATAATATGCACTTGAAATGAAACAACGCAATTGTTTTTTTTCTTATTCTAAATGTAAATTGTCTTGTTAAATTGGCAATTCCCTTACAATACAAGGAAAAAAATCCCATATTTTATTTTTAAAAAATTAAGATTTCAATTCTTTGCAGTGAAGCAATGGAAACCAAGAAGAACTACTAGGAAACATGGTGAACTGATATGCAAGTATTTTATAAAAATAATATAAATCAAAATTCCACCCTTCTCCACAGACTAAACTTCATTGTTCAGTGTTTAAAAAGAAAGTCAAATGTCGGCTGAGTAACGATACGTCTCGGCGTAGAAATGCGCTGTCAGGCAGTCACATAAGGCAAGCTGTCGTTTTCAATGAAGTCCGTTCACACTCTTTTCAAGACTGGAGTTAAAATCTGAATCCAGAACTACAACAATTCTCAAAGTCTTCATATGAAGCTGCACGGAAGCTCCACAGTTTAGGTGCAGCCCAAAGAAACACTGAAAATGACATGTTGGTCCTTAATTTCCAGGAGTCAGGTGAGCATGGAAGAAGCTGTGGATCTGCTGGGCGCTGGCCTGGCCCACCAAGGGTTCTAACTCAGCTGGGGATGCATTGGAGATCTCTTGGATGCTGGGAAAGTTCTGCATCAGAGTCACAGCTCTGACCTTGCCGACCCCGGGGATCTGCTGGACCAAAGCCAGAGTGATTGAATCCAGCAGCCGGCATGAAGTCCTCCGTCTGAATGGGTTCTCCCTGCCCTCCCCATGAACCTAAAACAAATGGAGAGAGCTTTTTTTATTTAAGGAAACTTTATTTTTTTTACTCTGACACCAATTTATCATTGTTTTTTTGTCATTGTTTTTAAAACACATTATTTAAGTTATTATTACAAAAGGGTAAAATGCTATTCTTTTTCCGACTTCAAAATAATTAAATTTCAATTTACTATAAGGGCAAAATCTGAATAATCAGATTCACACAAGCAATGGAACATTTGCCACTATGGCTGAGCTTCAATTCTCGCTGTGCTAAAGGGAAACCACCAATAGCTGCACACCTGATTCCACCTTCCTGATGCAGCACTTCCTAGTGCCCCCCTGATCTTTCAATAAATGTTCAACTAAATACCTCAGTATTTCTGGTCTGGTTGATACAAATATTTCACCTTTTATTGTATTTCTTCTTTTTTCCCATCACAGCCTACATTTTATACATATTTTGCATTGTTCCTAGATGATATAGAGGATGTAAATAACTTCTTGGCTCTAATTAATGGATTTAAAAGTAATCATTGGCTGTGTCCGAAGGTCCGCTCTAACCCCTAAATCCCTCCATCACTATATAGAGCAGGGACTATATATTGGACTTTATTGTGAACTCAGTTGACTTACAGCACGGTCAGATGATCACTGAGCTCTCCTCACAAATCTGGAATATATCTGCTTGTTTAGTGACCATCAATGATCACTACCTTCTAGGTGCATTGTGGGAAATTTTGAGTAAGCTACTTTTTCATCCACTAGATGTTCAGAGACTCATCTAATCTTTTTAGTTTCGGACTCTGTAACCGCTGCTGTGGTAACATCTTCTTGCGTGTCCATCATGGTGCAAAGCCGCGTGACGTAAAGCGGTGTAGTGTCGCAAAACCACGTTCTCTACACATTATCTTTTTATTCTCTTTTTTTTCCGTGATATACACTTAGAGTTTGCATAGCAAAAACGCAAAATGTTATATTAACAAATTATATTAAAATGTATATTAGCAGTAATAATAATAATAAAAAAGTTTATCACGATAGAAAAAATAGAGGAGAAAGGTCACGATAGACATGTTTCTCTCGTCCTCACGATATATATCGCCATATCGCCCAGCTCTAATAACCACTATATAATTGGATCTGTGTTGTGCAACCTGCTATGAAGAGGTCAGATATAGGTCGCAAATGAGCAAAACGATCCGATGTGGGTCACTTCAGGCTGATCTGTGAACATAGCCTTAGTCAGCCTTTAATCACCTGAAGAACATCAGGATTAAAGGACCAATGTCCAGCAGGATCTAGAAAAACTCTTTCATGCATTTATCTTTAGTAGAATCAATCACTGCAACAGTGTCCTCATAGGTTTGCCAAAAAAGTCCATCAGGCAGCTGCAGCTGATCCAAATCACTGCTGCCAGTGTTCTCACTAGAACTAAGAAAGTAGAGCACATCAGCCCAGTTCTGAAGTCCTTCCACTGACTCCCTGTAGCTCAGAGAATAGACTTTAAAATCCTTCTGTTAGTCTAGAAATCACTGAATAGATCAGCACCTCGATCCATTACAGATCTGTTGTCAGTGGATCAATCTCTGATCCACCCTCTAGTTTAAAGGAATAGTACACCCAAAACATGATTAGCCTTCATTTTCTACTCACCCCCATGCTGAACAACACTCTGGAGTACTTTTTTGATATCTCAAATGCATCTGGAGATCTGGGAGGCTTCTTGCTGTCTGCTGACATTCAAATAATGGAGGTCTATGGCGCCCGAGACAGAAAGGTCCATAAAAGTCCACAAAAACGTGTCAATATTCCTCCATACTGCTCGTCCAATGTAATCCAAGTGTCCTGAGTGGGTAGCATCCATAATTTACTCGAAACGAAGTCATTTAGAACGTTTTAGAGCCTAAACAGTAGTGTATAGGATTTCCTAATAGCGCCCCCATGCGCGCTCACGATTCTACGGAAGCCGGCAGACCAAACCAGCGCATTCAGCTCGGCAAAGAACTCATGCTCTTCCTCAACACTGAAGTCCTCAGACATTTTTCTTTCGTTGTTTCTTTCTTTGCACAGGTAAACAGCACATTTCTTCTTCTACGCTTGCATTATCGGCAGAGCAGACGCTGAATGCGCACTTTCTTCCGGTTTGGTCTGCCGGCTTCCGTAGAATCGTGAGCGCGCATGGGGGCGCTATTAGGAAATCCTATACACTACTGTTTAGGCTCTAAAACGTTCTAAATGACTTCGTTTCGAGTAAATTCTGGATGCTACCCACTCAGGACACTTGGATTACATTGGACGAGCAGTATGGAGGAATATTGACACGTTTTTGTGGACTTTTATGGACCTTTCTGTCTCGGGCACCATAGACCTCCATTATTTGAATGTCAGCAGACAGCAAGAAGCCTCCCAGATCTCCAGATGCATTTGAGATATCAAAAAAGTACTCCAGGGTGTTGTTCAGCATGGGGGTGAGTAGAAAATGAAGGCTAATCATGTTTTGGGTGTACTATTCCTTTAAAGCTGTCTTTGACTGTTAAAGTTAAACTGTTAACTGAGGTATTTTTAGTTTAAGGTTGTGATCCAACTGTTTTTATTTGTTTTTCTACCTGCTTTATCGTGCTTTTATATCGATTTGCTTGTATTTTGTTTTAATTTCTTACATTTTTAAATTAATTTAAAGCCCTTTGAATTGTCTTTGTACTGAATTGTTCTATACAAATAAACGTGCCTTGCCTTCTGCAAACATCTCCCACACTGTTTCAGGTCTTCTCTAAGGTTCAAGATCCTGATCAACACTGGATACTTACAATCTGAGTGATGAGCTGAGAGGCCTCCGTCTGCCCACCGACAGGCAGCAGAGACAAACCCAGGTCCAACACCACAAACTTCTGCAGGGCGGAGAAGTACTGCTCACTGAGCCTGGTCCTCTCCGCCAACACTAGCTGCTGGAAGCTGCTGCTGGCCTGGAAAACAGCAGGAGAGCAGAGCACAGGTGAACAGGTTCCCTGCAGAACATGCAGCTGAAGGACTTCCCTTACGTTTCTGTAGCGGACCAGCTTCCTCCTGAACCCGTTTCCTGCCACCATGTCCCCCTCAGACACGTACAGGAGGCACACTTTGTTGGGAAGGAGGAAATCGGCCACAGCCAGTTCATTTTCAAACAGGACTTTCAAACCAGCTTCTGCAGAAGGAGTAGAGAGAGTTTAGCTTCCTGGAACTGAAGCATTATTTACCTTAAACTTCATCCATTAAAAAGGAGCAGTCAGTGTATGGATTCATTACATTAGAGTGCTGATATGATGATACTCAGTCCATAAATTATGACCTAAATGACCTCTGTCCAGCTGTCTTTTTTTTTAAACGGAGAATGAAGTCAACGCGCAAGCTGATCCAGAAGTCTGATGTTCCTGACCTCAACCACGCTGCTTTATCGCATCGACAGAAGAAGGCTCTGTTCGAATCCATGGGCTGTGTCCTCCGAAGGCCAGATTCAAAGGACGATTACGTCATAGCGCTGCGCCGAGGTCTGGTTGGATTCTAAGACTACTCGTTATGCGACCTACAAATGGGTCCTTCTTTTGGCCCGATATGAAGGATGGTTCCAATGTGTCCTTGGATATCCCTGAATTCATTGGTGAATGTTGGAAGTTCAGTTTAATATAATACAAGTATGTAAATAATTCCTTCTAAAATGAATGAAAATAGTTGTTTTAATGGTTATTGAGTCAGATATGTGGCGGTAATGTTTGATTTATCTAAAGGTTTTTATCTGTTACTGTGTGAATGGGTTTGGCTGTAATTTAAGGACAGATTCTAATATACCTGCAGTGTGTAAATCTGATAGGAATTTTATTTTTCAATTGCTATTTTGCACAATTTGCTTAATTTCGCAGATATATACTGTATATATATATATTTTATTATTGTTTAGATTTACTTATATATTTCTACCCCTTTTATAAAATAGAATAAAATAGAACAGAATATCTCTTTTTTGTCCCAAAATGGGCAAATTTACAGAAACAGAAAGATTATTGAAAATGGTCATACAAATGTGGACCTTAGAAAAATTTATAAGAATAACATAATAGGGAAGAGTAAAAATATAAACAATAATATACTGTACTGTTAAGTGTTAACAATATGAAACTGTGCACCTGGAGAATAAATAATCAATCTACAGCTATGGACATTTTTACAGTAATGGAAGTTTGAAAATAGCAGCAACATCAGAGATGTGCAAAATTATTTATGCTCCTGGTGGTTGGCACCTTTATTCCATTCTGGATTCTCATGAGTGAAGTCTTTGTTCACTTTACGATAAAGAAGGAGAAAAAAATTATAAAAAGAAACAGTTTTGAAAAGTTCAGTATTCGTTCTTCTCCTGCTTTCTGTGTCACTGTCGCGGTTGCTAAGCAACATAGCGTACGGCGGAGAAAGCCGCGCGAAGGGTAGACCCATAGATATCCATAATAAAGGCTAGATGTCTTACGGCGGAGTCTCAAACGTCATCACCGGCGGCCATCTTACCTCAGGCAGGCTTTCTGTTGTGGTCTGTGGTACCTAATGTAAGGTGAGTGATCAGCACGAACACAAATACTCTTATCTCACTGAATTCTTGACGGATTTACAAACAGTTTGGTTTCTTACAAACATTATGAACGTGGCTATAATTCTAGATGCTTGAACATGTCGAAATTGCAGATTTTCTTGTCGAAAAATGACTTAATCGCGCAGCATAGTTGTGCATCACGGCTACTTGCGCAAATTATCAAGGCTGAGATTATTAGTCAATTATATAGGTTTTACTGACACCAATAACGATTGTATGACAATTAATCTTTGGTGTAAATTACAATATTTGTGGATGTGGTTGTAGTTATTAGTTGGCTAATAACAATAATCTGAGTGCTGTTGTATTTTCATTATTAGCCTAACGTTAGCTGGCTAATAACAAGAAGCTGCAAAGTGAGACCTAACGTTAGTAAGTTAGCAGCTAACGTTACAGTTTAGCTAGCTGCTAACGTTAACCAGCAACTTTACATCAGTGGAAGAGGCAGAATTTAACATGATTTCCAATCGATTTGGTTTGTCAACACATCTTACATTATGTTACAGGAATTTGCTGGGTTTATTAAAAGGAAGATGCCAGACTTTTGCTATGACATAATAGTATTACAAGACTGTTGTTGACTCAAAGCTTTTATAAGTTTGTATTAGTTTCATTTGGACAACTTAAAGATGGTGTTGTGCCAAACATTTTCAACTTTCCAGCTCATCTTCAAAGGGCATGTGTATCATTGAAATTTAATCACATATTGATATACCAATCTTATACACTGTGAATTGTTGTTGGTCACTTTTGTTTTTGTTTCTGCAGGTTATATAATGTGTAAGCAGGAGGAGAAGATCGTCCATCCCCGTTTGCTGACATTCCTGCACTAGTACATGACCACAGCTACCTTCCTGTCCACTTTGATGGCCTTGTGGACAACGGTCTCTTGTACATTATACAGAAGCTCAATAAAACCATCCTTTTCAAAGGGCATTAGCCAAGCTATGTTTTTTGGGTCATTTTTTAAATCTCTGTCTTCCATGTGTACACCATCACAGTAGTGTAGGTGGGGATTTCAACATGCTACATCTATATATACTTGTGAAGGGGACTATTGTACCAATTTTAATAGCAAATAAATGTCACTTTTATAATGGTTTAAAAATAGGAACTTTTGTGTAATTACCCCTGATATATAATCCGAATAGTCTACATGAAACTTCAAAGTGTTACCTTTAATTTGAAACCTGGATTATGCTGCTACACCAAGAGGTTGCCACACAATAAGCCTTTTCTGTCAGTATTCAATACTTTATTATAACAATAATATTCATATTATAAAAGTATGTATGTAAATATAAATAAATTAGGACTGTGAAATAATTAATCACACCCAAATAAAAGTGTTTATATATATATATATATATATATATATATATATATATATATATATATATATATATATATATATATACACACATATTTATATATAGGTATCTATATCTATATAGATATCTATATAGATATCTATAGATATACACTATATTGCCAAAAGTATTTGCTCACCCATCCAAATTATTGGAATCAGGTGTTCCAATCACTTCCATGGCCACAGGTGTATAAATTCAAGCACCTAGGCATGCAGACTGTTTTTACAAACATTTGTGAAAGAATGGGTCGCTCTCAGGAGCTCAGTGAATTCCAGCGTGGAACTGTGATAGGATGCCACCTGTGCAACAAATCCAGTCGTGAAATTTCCTCGCTCCTAAATATTCCACAGTCAACTGTCAGCTGTATTATAAGAAAATGGAAGTGTTTGGGAACGACAGCAACTCAGCCACGAAGTGGTAGGCCACGTAAACTGACGGAGCGGGGTCAGCGGATGCTGACGCCCATAGTGCGAAGAGGTCGCCAACTTTCTGCAGAGTCAATCACTACAGACCTCCAAACTTCATGTGGCCTTCAGATTAGCTCAAGAACAGTGCGCAGAGAGCTTCATGGAATGGGTTTCCATGGTCGAGCAGCTGCATCCAAGCCATACATCACCAAGTGCAATGCAAAGCGTCGGATGCGGTGGTGTAAAGCACGCCGCCACTGGACTCTAGAGCAGTGGAGACGCGTTCTCTGGAGTGACGAATCGCGCTTCTCCATCTGGCAATCTGATGGACGGGTCTGGGTTTGGCGGTTGCCAGGAGAACGGTACTTGTCTGACTGCATTGTGCCAAGTGTAAAGTTTGTTGGAGGGGGGATTATGGTGTGGGGTTGTTTTTCAGGAGCTGGGCTTGGCCCCTTAGTTCCAGTGAAAGGAACTCTGAATGCTTCAGCATACCAAGACATTTTGGACAATTCCATGCTCCCAACTTTGTGGGAACAGTTTGGAGCTGGCCCCTTCCTCTTCCAACATGACTGTGCACCAGTGCACAAAGCAAGGTCCATAAAGACATGGATGACAGAGTCTGGTGTGGATGAACTTGACTGGCCTGCACAGAGTCCTGACCTCAACCCGATAGAACACCTTTGGGATGAATTAGAGCGGAGACTGAGAGCCAGGCCTTCTCGTCCAACATCAGTGTGCGACCTCACAAATGCGCTTCTGGAAGAATGGTCAAAAATTCCCATAAACACACTCCTAAACCTTGTGGACAGCCTTCCCAGAAGAGTTGAAGCTGTTCTAGCTGCAAAGGGTGGACCGACGTCATATTGAACCCTATGGATTAGGAACGGGATGTCACTTAAGCTCATATGTGAGTCAAGGCAGGTGAGCAAATACTTTTGGCAATATAGTGTATCTATATATCATGTTGCCCTTCAGTACACTGAGTTTTAATAGCATATATTGATTTAACATAAATACCTTGTGCATGTGTATATTTATTGCACCTGTATGTTCTATTCAATGTTCTTTTCATATGAAATACCATGGTTATAATTATTCATAAGTGTGCAGTATCATAACTACATGTCTGACTTTTGTTTAACAAACCAAACAATTAGACAATTGAGGAAGTTATGGTTATAGGGCTTGGTCGTCGTGACGTAGGCACTTCGCGTCGCCGCCATGTTGAATGCGTCTTTTACCGCGGCTCAGACTACTGCCTATGACTACCGGGTACTGTACTCCCTCTCAGCCGTGTTTTAATTTGATTAATTTCACCTTAACTTGATTTCAACCATGGTAAACCGTTGCTGTATTGTGGGCTGTAACAGCTCAACGCATGATCGCCATGGAAACATAGAAAATGGGTTAACTTTCCACCGCTTTCCTGAATGGACGCGTAACCATGGAGACCAAGCGTCAGAGATAAAGAGTCGTCGGCTAGCTTGGATCGCGGCTGTAAGACGACCGAACATAACTTTCCACAGTATTCCAATGTCATTGAGAGTGTGTTCATTTTCATTCTGGTAAGTTAAAGATGCACGGTTTTATTTTATAGCCTACTTTGTTTCTTTCCTTCAAAGTTGGGATCTTTTACGGGAAAATAATAAAAACGGCAGCGGGAAAATGCTCAAATACGTGAGAAACCCGGAGGGTTGGCAGTTAACGTTACTAACTACATCTTTGAAACACACAGCAGCTAGTTAAAAGTACATTACATGCGTGAGTGGTTGTTAGCACTAGCGGTTAGCAGTTGCTAAACTAGCAGGTTCCAGAGCCCGACTGATCACAGCTTACCTTCGTACGAATTACTCTGTTCCCACTGTTTGATGGCTTTATGATCTGCAGCTCCTGAACCCATCCATTCATGAACTGCACATGAGACTCCAAGGACTTGTAGCTTCGGAACTGTTTTGAAGTATAGGCGCTCACTCATCGGTGCTCCACTCATTGTTTGGAACTTTATATGGATCCAAATGATTAATAATGCTGATTTTGTCACCATACCGGTCCCTGGCTTCTCTATTTAATGTGTCCCGGCAAATTCCAGATCCTTTTCGGGATTTTAACATCTTTTTTCTCTCTACTTCTGTCTCTTCTTTCAACAACAACGTTGTGTCAGAGCTATGTTTACGTTTGCGTAGCCGTCAATATGACCGCGACGTCCCACAATGCAACGTGGATCCCGAGCCCTATTTAAGTACATGCGCCTTTAAAACACAATGTTACGAATGAGCGAACTGCCTTATATTCTTTGATATAGAAAAGGCATATGACATGATGTGGGTGGATGGATTATTAATTAAATTATACAAGATTGGTATTAAAGGGAGAATATTTAAATGGATTAAAGACTTTTTAACAGGTAGGAAAATACAAGTTAGAATAGGAGAAACTACCTCAGGAAAATATAAAGTAGAAAATAGAACTCCACAGGGGAGTATTATAAGTCCACTTTTGTTCTCAATTATGATAAACGATGTATTTAAAGATATTGAAAAAGACATGGGGTGTTCACTATTTGCAGATGATGGAGCTGTTTGGAAACGAGGGAAAAATGTTGATTTTATTGTTAAAAAATTACAAAAGGTTATTATTGAAATAGAGAAATGGGCGTTGCAATGGGGATTTAAATTCTCAGTTGATAAAACAAAAGTAATGTTATTTACTCAGAAAAAAATAAACAAGGAAATAAAATTAAAATTATATAAACAAGAGTTAGAGCAGGTAAAGTGTATAAAATTTTTAGGATTATGGTTTGATGAAAAATTAAAATGGCATATACATATACAAAAAGTTGTTGATAAATGTAAGAAAATCTTGAATATTTTGAGATGTTTGGCTGGCAGTGACTGGGGAGCAGATAGGAAATCACTAAAACAGATTTACACAAGTATGATAAGATCCAACATAGACTTTGGTTGTTTAGTTTACGGTTCAGCAGCTAAAACACATCTAACCAAATTAGACATTATCCAACATCAGGCACTAAGATTATGTACTGGAGCATTTAAAACCACACCAACAGCAGCATTAGAAATAGAAATGGGAGAAATGCCATTAGATTTAAGAAGAACAAAATTAGAAATCAATTACTGGTTAAATTTACAAGGAAATAAAGGGGATCACCCAACTTTGGACATTTTAAATCCATGCTGGGAAAAAGAAAAGAAAGAAATGAGGAGTTTTGGATGGACAATTGAAAATAAAATTAAAAAATTTAAAATGAATAGTTTAGAAATGAGTCAAACAACACCAATATCAATTATACCTCCCTGGATTCTACCAGAAGCAACAGTAGATATGTCACTAATGGAAAAGAAACAAGATAAATCGTACACGGTAGATATCAATTTAGTACAGTTATATTTAGACAGTTATTATCAATATATTCAAATTTATACCGATGCATCAAAAATAACTGAGAAATTAGGAATAGCATTTGTAGTACCAGAATTCAATATAAAAATAGGAAAACGGATTACAGATGGATTATCAGTATACACAGGAGAAATGTTGGCAATATTATTAGCATTACAATGAGTAGAAGATATAAAACCGTTAAAATCAGTCATTTGTTCAGATTCAAGCTCCGCATTGTTAAGTTTAAAAAATAACCAAACAGATAGTAGGATGGACATTTTATTAGAAATAAATCATACACTGTTCAGAATACGAAACATGGGGCTGATAGTTACATTTGTGTGGGTTCCAGCACATATTGGGGTAGAAGGAAACGAGTGGGCAGATAAAATGGCAAAAAGGGCAATTAAACATTCTATTAGTTTTATAGTTAAAATAAGTAAATCAGAAGGAAAGAGTATTATTAAAGAGAAACTTATGGAAATTTGGCAAAAAAGGTGGGATGAAGATAAAACAGGAAGATGGTTTTATAAAATTCAGAAGATGGTAGGAGAAAGAAGAAATGGAAGAAGAAATAGAAAGGAGGAAAGAGTGATAACAAGGTTAAGATTTGGTCATACAGGACTTAATTATACACTTTTAAAAATACAAAAACATAAAACGGGCAAATGTGATTTCTGTGATAAATATGAAACCATAGAACATGTTATATTAGACTGTCATAAATATGAAAGAGAGAGAAGATATATGAGAAGAGAGTTTGAAGACATTAAGGAGAAGGTCAATTTATTAGATATACTGAGGAAAAATTTAGGGAGTAAACACATACAAATAATTATTCGTTTTCTAAAGAAAACGAAATTATTCCATAGAATTTAATTATAGTAAGTGTGTTTGTGAGTGAAGGAATGATATACAAAGCTGTGCACAAATTTGTTTATACTTTTAAGTGTGAATGTGTGAATGTATGTTTAGAAGAAGTTAGGGTAGAATATATCAGGATAAATATTTAAACCATCACGAACCACACTCCATACCAGTAAGTGGCGGTAATGCTACTAACAGTTTGTTGCCAACCGCCATAAAACACGAGAAGAAGAAGAAGAAGAGCGAACTGCCTGTGGTAAGATGGCCGCCACGTGCGGACGTCGACCCCCATTGGCCAGCAGCGCGGACGAGACATCTAGCCTTTATTATGGATATCTATGGGTAGACCTGTTTGGATTCACAGCCAAAACACTTCCGGTCTCTTCATTTTCAAGGACTTCAAAGGATCCAGTCCAGGTAGACCGGGTCCCTGGAAGACGCAGACTATTAATTCGAACAGAGCCGAAGACTCACCCTTTAAGCCCTGAAGAAGAGAGGAAGTCCTCCATTTCTCACTGCAGACCACGTGACCGTATGGAGGAGCGGCATTCACCAAGGCAGTTGGCTTAGGTTCCATTCAGAGGAAAAACTACGACATCATCGACTTCATAAACACTGGGCGCCTCTACAAAAACAAAATCTTCCTCTTCTAATGATTTCCGAAAGGCTGAAGGCTGCTGGTGGGAAATGCTGCCCCCTGCAGGCCTGTGAGGAAAAGTCAGAGGACAAGGAACTTCTGTCCTTCATGAAAAACCAGCCATCCTGTTTCATTAATCTCCAAGAATATATCTTTTCAACTTTAGGGGGCTCACTTTCCTTCTCTTCTTTGATTAAAGCACTTCTTCCAAGGGCATTGATTCACAAACATCATTGTTCTCTGCCTTAATCTGAAATGAGCAGTGGCCCTCACACTTTAAACAAACAGGTCATTATTTTATCCTGAACGGTTCAACATATAAAGTTAAAAAAGTTTGGGTATTTAAAAAAATTATGTTTAATAATGAGCTCAACCAATGGTATTATTTAACTGACGATTTAACTGTAGCTTGTTTTTACCTCAACCTGTAAGAACAGACTGATTTCTACACTCCCTTCAACAAGATTTCTGTTTCGTCAGCTGGTTTCTACAGGAAAATAACATTCCTGATTCACTGGAGAAATGCGTGGACATTTCATCAGAATCTCCAAATAAACAACCAAATGAGAGATTTTTCCTTAAACTGTTGACAGAGTTGATTTATCTGCTCTATCTTAAAGCATAAAAACTAAACATATATGATTCCTCTAATGATCATTTTAATTGAAAATATTTTGTTGTTGTCTAAAATATTGTTCTGATGGGGTCATCTGCGCTTCAGGAAGTCCTGGGGGAGGAGGCTTGGGAGATCCGGTGTCCATCAAGCTTTAGACCTGTAAAATAAATCTTAAATAAAAAGTAATGATTTCCAACCAATCAAAGATATTTTGTTGTTAAAAAAAAATAAATAAATTCAAAATTTTTATGTGAAACTGTGTTTTTACAAAGATAATTTTACATATGATAAAAGAAAAAAACAATATATTTCTCCTTTGTTATCCCATTATCTACACCTTTGTTATAAACACAAATAACAACTAGGAAAAAAATATAAACAATACATCACAGAATTATTCAGATTACTTACATACTTTAAAATGACTTCAATGATAAACATTTAAAATATATGGAAAGTAAAAAGAATTTATATCTAGACAAAAAAGCATCTAGACTAGATAAATTATATTGGTAATGATATAGATGGGAATTCCCAGAAAAAAACTGATGTTTCTTTATTCAGTTGAATTCTGTTTCTTTATATAGCCACAATTCAAAACACACATCAAATCAAGACAAAGAGAATATTAAATGGGGACAGATTTTATATTCTCAGAAAAGAAGAGCGTGTTATTTAATCATTAAAGCTACAGTGTGTAATAATTACAGGGATATGAAGTCAGAAATGGAATATATTATACATAACTGTTATTTATCATCACCTATGAGCTCAGCCTTTTAACCATAATATTTGCGTTGCCTTAGGATTCGTTATTTATAATTACATAGGAGCGGGTCTCGCAGCCATGGAGGCAGACATCTTTGCGCTACGGCAAGCGCAGAGGCAACAAACTAGCGATTGCGAGATCGCCCATTACGCTTGAAAGTAACTATGGCAAGTTGAGAGAGATGAACTGAGACGGTACTGAACAGTAGATGGCAGTATTATGCCTGAGAAGCGTTTAGTCTGCCTGAAACCAAAGAAGAAGAAGAAGCAGGTATACGGCGCTTCAGTAACAAGAAAGGTGAACAAGGCGGCAGGCGTGAGTGACTTTGCAAACTGTTTGGCACTGTGTGGCCAAACATCAGACGAATGGAGGATCATGCCTACTCTGTATCACAACGAAAAGCGGCGGACACCGAACCCCCGTCATCTAAGAAGCGGAAACACGACGAGAATAAACGCAAGCGTGACAAGAAACGGCAAAAAACACGGATCAACATTGGCACGGCATTTACACAATGGAAGTCACTGATGGAGAAAAAAGGTTTTCAAAGTGACGCTCAAATCGCCAGTTTTCTGTTGGACAGGTAATTAATCCTACACACACAATTGTCTTTTTATACACGTAATACCCCACCCCCACATCCCGTTTCAACCAAACTATTGTCAAGATGTCTGGTAGCATTACCTAGATAAGGCCACAGCTTCATAAAATTACCACAGCTGAAAGTGGCGTGTGTGAGTGTGAGAGAGACAGATATATGAAGCTGCATATCAGCGAGCTACGGATATATACCTCGGTTACTTCTCTCCGGCTCCTTTGGAGATCTTCAAGCCTTTCCCCCTCTGCTCTAGTCACCCCGCTGGCACCTCTCCCTCGCCTGGCCCTGGCTGCACGCCCAACCCGGCCTCTCTGCCCTCTTCCTCGCCCTCTTCCTCTCCCTCTTCCTCGCCTTGTAATCCCCGTGCCACAAACAAGACTTGGACTCTGTAAACAGGGAATATATATTCTTCCAGCGAACACAATCTCGCTGTTAAACTAATGACTACAATTACTTCGTCTGTTTATATCACCATGCAAAGCAGCTCACCAAAACGTCACAACGATGTAGAAAAAATAACGAGTATATTTATTATCTTAAGTCTACATGAAATCTATACCCTACACCAGTGGTTCCCAAAGATTTTCTTCTGGGCCCCCCTTTGGATTACAATAAAATTTCCGCGCCCCCCCATCCCGCCCAAACAACCCCCCTCCCCCCCCCCGACCCCGAAAAAATAAATAAATAAAAAAATAAACTGGGCACACACATCGTTCAACCAGATATAATAAATCTATACACATATTTTGTTTTCAAACTCCACTGAAGTTTATTTCACACTTCAGGTTGCAACAAAACAAACTGCACCATCTTTACAGTGGAACACTTTTGTGTAACTGTATTTTTTTCAGTTCTATAATGTAGATTAGAAGAGGATTCTTTGTTGTCTGTGTTATTTTAAACATATTTCTTTTTTTTATTTGTAACAATATTTAACTTTGCTATAATCTATGGCATTGCGCCCCCTAGGGGGCGCGCCCCACACTTTGGGAACCACTGCCCTACACAGACTAATGAAATACTATCTGTAAAATTATCTATGTAAACAAACCTCATCACTTGAGAAGGTAGGTGATGCGGACGTCGTGGCAGACATTTTGTCCCATAACGCTCGCCGTACTGTTGGGGGGAGAAGCGGTGGGGGGGAGATGTTCATGTTGCTGCAGTCTGCAGTCTGACCCCTAGATGTCGCTGAAAATTACACACTGTAGCTTTAAACGCAAACAACTGGTTTCCCAACTTTTAAGGATGCAGACATACAATATCATATAGATACAAAAAAAGAGTTACCTTGTGAAAGAGACCAAAACCTTGTCAATGCTGCACCAAACCTCCACATCTCACAACACTCACTGCAACATGGATGAGGAGAAATTAATTTTGGAAGTCTAGCATCATGACTAATTAATGGCAGCACTGCTACTCGGCTGTGATCTCCCCCATCATGGAGGCTTAATCAACCATCCTAGTGTAATCCTGAAATACATATAAGTCAACTAAACCACTGAGCATTACAAGGCCCTCATTTGTTTACACAGACCATATTTCAAGAAATATGAATACTTTGTCATCATGTTTTCAGTGTATAATTATGTTGGAGACTAGCTTTGAGTACAGAAGTACAGGTAACTATAGTTGCAAGGAGCAAAAATACTGCAGACCTAAAACTGTTTAATTGTATTGTTAATACAACTATTCATTAATTAAGTTTTTGATAAAAAAAAATCCACTGCGGTGTCCACATTGAGGGAGCCGGTTTATCTTGCAATTACGTAAAAATAAACCCTAAACGAAGCAGTGTTCTGTGCTGCCATCTAGTGGTAAAACGATAATTAACTAACTAACATCATGAATAAAAGCAGGTGTTTAGTTTTTTTTAAGTAAATCTTCACTCGGTGTTGAGACACAAACAGACTCCCTGCAGAACCCAATGGGAGAGGTGCAGGGTAGTAAACAGGTCTGCCTCAAACACCAGTCCCACGCCCATTGCATTCCTCCGCATTGATGTTGTGTACACCGGTGTCCTTCTGTGGGGAAAAGACATACAATGATACACAGAAAGAAAAAAAATGTACAAATCACATGGGAAGAAAGTATATAGAGGTTTTATGCAGACCTGTAACCTAAGGCGGCGTGTCTCAATGGGGATGATTCTCAGGATGCACAGTTCAACCACAGAGACCTTAGGTTTACTTCTCATTAGACAGGTGTTCTCTATGTCCCAGTCTGCTCCCTCCAGGTACAGGCCAAACACAAAGCAGCCTGCAGCCAACAACACCTTTAGTAGTTAGAATTAAAAACAAAAGAACAAAAAAAAAAACCCTAGGACTTGTATTACCTTGTTTGGGCCTGACTGTGATTTCATCCTCACTGCGATACTGGGTCACTTTAACGTAGAAAGATCCAGAGGCCAGCCGTTTGTCCTGTAGGCAGCTTGAACCAGGGCAGTCAGATAAGACTCTGGGACATGAAGTCCTGATAGCCACATGACTTTTGGCTCACCCTCATTCACCTGAAAAATGTATTTAAATGGTACTAGTGAGAATTGAATTTCTGATATTTCAATGGGCTGTTTGGGGATTTGTTAGCTTGAATGAAGATGTATTTCTACTATATGAAATGTATTTTTTTCTAACTAAAATGGACATGTCAGACATCTTGAATATAATACTCACTAGAGAAAATTACTTTTACTTCCAGATGTCTGAAATAACCTTCTTCCCATCTAAAGAAAAACATCCTGGATGGTGTTTTCACATGTTTAGTGTACACTGCAGTATGGCTCCAAATGTTTAACTGTTGTCATGCAGCTCATAAGCTGGTCGGGCATCTTAAAAGTTACAGTCAGATTAGAAGAGCTGAGTGAAGAGCTTTAATAATGAAGAGGAGGGAACAAGCTGGTCATTCCTGCTCTATGAAATGACTGGATGTCTAAATTGATTCATTTTGTTTTAAGTGAGCTCATCCTTGTTGTGATAAAGGTTTGGTTTGCACTAGAAAGCTTTATTAGAATTGGAAAAATTCACAGCGCCCATTTAAAAAAGGGGCTGGGATCTCTGTTGTTTTACTAAAAAAGGTGCAAATTAACACAACATTTGATTAAACAGGACATCGGTCATGTCTGGAGCAGGAAAGCTGCTCCACGACAGAGAGAAGGGGAAAAATCTTAAACTGGTGATTTAATAAAGAAAAGAACTTGTAAAATGCTGACTAAAGTGCCAATGAGGGTTTATGAAAGGATGGATGTCGAAATATTTTCAGAGCTAGTTAGACGTTGTTTGGATGATTAAGTACATTGGTGAACAGTCTTTAAAGCAGAAGTCCAATCAGCAAGGAATAACCAAAGGATCATTATTTATACCTAAAACTAATATGATCGAGGTGATTTAATGAGTTAATCAGTAAAAATATAAAAAAATAATTTTTGGAGTGATCAAAGAGTCAGGGAGCTGCTATTTTTGCCCAAATATAGTAACACCTCACTCCTGACATCTTCCGGCAGTGACGCTACGGTGCGGTAAGCCTAGCGCCATTATTCCCGCTTTATGAGCAAAATCAATGGGAACTACTAGACACATCTGCAGTCAACAACAACTATTTAAGATTTCCAGAGGGCTTCACCTATGAAATTCGTCAGAGCTACAGTTAAACTGTCAATGCCCACGTGCATGGCAGTTGGATGTTGTAATATATCGGGTAAAAGTGAAATTAAATCTTAAGTCATTTAAGTTTTTTGATTCATGATTCTCCACGGACGGGTTCGTTGTTGTATTGCCAACTTGAAGAGGGAGGATTTGCCATCAAAGTTCTAGCCAGAGAATAAACATGTAATATGTAGCCAACATTTCAAAGAACGGCGTGGCATGCAGGGTCAAAGAGGGCTGCTTTCAGAGCAGCAAGGACTTTCCTGCCATGACTGATAATACTGATAATAATTGACCTTTCACTGATTCTTGAAACTTTGGCAAAAACATGTCCCACTAAGAAAAGTGCTAATCCTGTTGCAAATAAATAAAATTTTCATAAATAATAAGAATCAAAGTTATAATCAGGGGGTCCTTTGCACATATGTAAGGTTCTTTTAAAGGTTTATTTTCTCTGAAATTAATCTAATGATTTTATGCTGGCCCATTGCCTACAAAATCAGTTGTCCTTGGATAGGAGATAATCATTTCAACTTGATTAAAAAAAGAAAAAGTAAAAATTGAATTGAGTAACATGTTTACCAAATGAAAGAGTACATTGCAATATGTATGTAAAACTACAAACAGTGAGTTTTGAATAATATTTACTATTATTTTGTGATTGCTTAAAATGTGTCCCACATATTTGTCACCACCGTCGGATATTCATAAAAAGCAATAAAATCATGCAATTAAAAGGTCAACTACATTTCTGATGACCCCATTTTCAAATGTTCAGCTCTACTGCATGCTTCAAGTTCACTCAAGCTCCTGTAAGTTTGCTATTTTCTCTTTAATTTGTTCATATCTTTCAACACTGCTAATGTCACAACCATAACATGTCAACACTGTCTCTTTTGTATAAGAATATTAGTTTAGATCAGGGGTGGGCAATTCCAGTTCCTGGGGCCCGGTATCCTGCATCTTTTAGATGTGCCTTTGGTTCAACACACCTGAATAAAGTACTCAGATAATTGGAGGGACTCTGCAGGAACCGACTGCATACTGAGGAGGTAACTCAGCCATTTGATTCAGGTGTGTTGGACCAAGATGGATCTAAAAGTTGCAGGATACCGGCCCCGAGGAACTGGAATTGCCCACCCCTGGTTTAGATTATGACATAAATGTTTACTTTTTAAGAAGAGGTCTAAAGCAGCTAGCAACAGAGACGGAGAAACAAGATGGCTAACGTGAACAACTCCTGCATATCATTTGAAAGAGTAGTTTTTTGTCACCACCGTCAGACGTCACCACCGTCAGGTTTTCTGCCTAAAGGTGGCGATGTAAAAAAAACCTACAAATGGTCCTCAATGGAGGCTGGAATATAATTGTTGATCTGTAATGTTCCATTAACCTCTTTTATATTTTTGTTTATGTTTATATATGTAGGGGATGAGGTGTGCCTTCCCTCTCTCTCAATTCACTATTATGCCATGTTCATTTGGCTTACGTCATTTGGGATGGACATAGTGCGCCTACTACCTACCTACATAGCACAAAGTATACATTATCCCTTGTAAGCTGTGCATCTCCTATGACTAAAGCCTAATAAAAATGGCATGGCAACATTTAACCAAATCAAACATTTACTGTAATTACCCCCAATTTCATAGTCATTACACTAAACTTTGGTGAAGGAAGGGAAGATAAAAAAATCAATGACTCAGTTCAATCAATGACCTGAATGAAATGGAAAAGAAGTCAGCGAAAGGCTTGGAAACGTAGACAACAAGTATCAAGTGAATGTAAGAGAAAGGGCTCAGATCACCCAGAAACTGCCCCAGACGGTCCAGTGGATCAGGCCATGCACGAGCCAGCACGGACTAGACAGGCTGTAGCAGGAGTAGGGGACACTAGACCACAGTTTAAGATGATGTCAGTGATGCATTGTACATTATTCCTACTGGTAATTACTTTATTTTTTACTATGATGATTTTATATTTGATAATATGGGGATGGGGTACTTTTAAAAATGATATTGCTTAACTGTACCTTATATTCCTTGAAAAATGTTTGTCACAGTTCTCACGATTGTTATTTTTTGGACAAAATAGTTAAATAAAGTTAATGAGCAAGAAACCATCGACTTTATTTATATACAGTTTTAATTGTATGTTGTAATGAGGGCATTGTCACCACCGTCAGTTCTAAAGTCACCGCTGTCAGAAGGCTTTTTGTTTGTTTTAAATAAATATGCTGTGCTGTTCTGTCATTAAAATAATATATTTTTTTATTTTTAATACAAAAATATGTTTGTTGAATAAAAAACATAACATTTTCTATTTAGGCTTAAAGTAAACATTGTATGATGTTAGATCTTTTAAAGGACTTCTTGTGAAACAATATAGAAAATTAACAAAAGTAAATATTTAACATTTAACAGCATATATGTGTATTAACAATGCCAGATAATGATTTATAAACTCTAAATACATATTAGACCAAATAAATAAAAAGTAATTTGCTTTTTATTGTGTCTGACGGTGTTGAAAAAAACAAAGTAATAACGGGAAAAATGCCTATTTTATGAAAAAAATACAAAGGAGGTTTCACCGGTAGATTGCTGAACAGCCCTTGGTCTATGACAATATACCTTCAGATTTTGTAATTAAACTAACTTTTTATTTTCAAAATTAAAACCTGTTTTATCCAAATTCCCAAGAATCAGTGACTTATTGATCTCACATTGGAGAAATTGTGGAGGTTAAGGATCTTTGCTCAGAGACCCAGAGTGGCAGTCTGTGGGAGTGGGGCTGGAACTTAGAACCTCCGGGTTCCTAGCTCCATGTCCTAAACACTAGGCCGCCACTCCACTAAAAACTCGTCGCCTGGCTGGGAATGGAACCCGAACCGCAGCAGTGAAAGCACCAAATCCTAACCACTAGACCACCATGAATCAGCAAGCACCTGGACCAGATCAACTTTAAACCGCATTTGGTCCATGTCAGTCTGTGAAACTGAAATTAATAAAAACATTCACAATTAATAAAAAAAAAACCTAAAACCAAAAATAAGCAGCTAGGGCTGCAGTTACATTAGCCTGCATAAAACCTCCTTCTTAATAGAAAGTTCACACAAGTTAATGGGATCTGAGGAAATCATTTTTCTGCAGCTGTTTTCCATTGGCTGCAGAAACAGATTCATTACACTGTTGACGATGGTTTCTTTGGAAAAGCTTCTTGTATTGGCTGCTTAGTCATCGGTCTGTATATAGAAGTGTGTTACCAAACTATACTGCCATGCTACAATCGCCATAGTAACCAGTTCAAGATGCAAAGGGCTGAACCGTACTCACTTCACTAAGCACAACACATAGATTAATTAGCTACAAACCAAGTCATGGTTTCATATCTTTTATTTCTGTTAATTATCATGATTTGTTCCTTACTGCTAATAAAATAAATAATAATAAGATTAGAATATAATAACCGGACAATAGAGAAAAATATTTTGAAATGGAAATTTGGGCTTGATTACAGTATTTTTAATAACCGATTCAAGTTCATATGCAAATGGTTATCTTTTTTTTTTTTTTAACCTTCATTTAACCAGGAAAATAAAATCCCATTGAGATTAAAAACCTCTTTTTCAAGGGAGTACTGGCAAAGAGGCAGCAAAGTTACATAAGATACATTAAGCATAGATGCATAAAAATAAATGACAGGTAAATAAAAAAAAACATCAAGTAAAATTACAGATCATTGAGGCTGCTTCAAATTCTTTCACCTTCAACTTAAAAGAAGAAAAACTCAGTCAACTTCCAGTTTCTTTGTAAAATATTCCA